GTTTGTAATTTAGCCCAGAGGTTGGATAAATCCTAGGGAATGTGAGAAGCGTTAATCCGTACTTTCTATGTCAGTGAGAATAGAGCATGACAGTGGAAAGGCATTGTACACTGACGTATTACATATGATATGCCCTAACGCGCTTACACGTACTTTAACAGCCTAAAAACCAATTATTTTAGCGGTTACTTGTCGCATTCAAAGTACCCGCCAGTGTCTGCTGGTTTTACCTGTACATTTATGCCGTTAGATTAAGCCCCAACGCCATTAACGTCACCATGGAATTGGCTCACAATTTGGCCATGGAGGACATAGTTGAGGTGTGTATGCAGCGTGTTGCGAATACCTTCGATGCTTGGATTGATACAGAAGCAATCTGCGAACTCGGAGAGGAGGAGTTCTGTTCCCTTCTGACGAGGTCTGATCTGTGCATTAAAAGTGAGGTCTCCCTGCACCACAGTATCGTCTCCTGGCTGGAACATCGCCCCACTGTGGGCAAAATTCGAGCATCTAGACGGAGCAATTTCGAGTGTCTTACCTCCTATCCACGACTTTTTGGACTAATCTGTTCGCTCTTTCTGAGGGCAGACACAGCCGTCCAGTTTATGCGCTCTTCAAAGGAATTACCTTTTAGGCAAGTATCTTGTCCGACATCTCGATAATATTTGTGGTGTCTCAAATGAAGGCTTTGGCCTAACCTGTTCAGGAAGTGCTAATTTAACCGTATTCCCCTAGCCAATAAGGACCCTACTTTCAAAACTGTGCTCATTTTATCCAAATCTTTTCGTTCTTGCATATTCACTTCTTGAATTCTACAGTATACACCGAGACTCATGATTGTTAACCATATTTTCATCAAGAAGATTTGCATAAGTAGACGGACTACCACGAACTATAATCCTCATTTGGTTCATATACCATAGTCTCCTGGTTTATGCTTGATAAGATCTTCGGCACTCCTGTAAATGGCGCGTAAAATAGCACTACTTGGGTGGTGTACACTTAATCGGTGGGAGCCTAGAACGCGGCCCCATCTAGTCATTTCCTAGTCCACTGCCTAAGAATCTCGTACTAATATAGACTTCAGTAGGTGGGTTTCTGTCATGGTTCAGGGTGTGGAGTTTAGCGTTAGGGTTAGGGTTACGGTTAGAGTTTAGAATTGCGGTTAGGGGTTTAGGGTTTAGTGTGAAGGTTAGTATTTGGGGGTTAGGGTTAGGGTTTTTAGTTGAGGTTTATGGTTAGGATTTCGAGTTAGGGTTTAGGGTTAGGGTTATTATTTAAAATCAGGGTTTAGGGTTCTTATTTATGGTTAGGGTTTAGCGTTCTCCACTTTACCAAATGGGGCCGCGCTTTAGGCCTCTGTCATTTAATCTATGGATTTTGAGTGCCTGCATATGGTGGAACACGTTTTCCCAACAATTTACGCAAACCCTTTACTCTGTGAAGCTTGTAGCAATTTGAGTAGTTAAATGGTTCTTTTGAAAAGCAGGGCACCTTTGCTTTTTAAAAATTCCGATGAAATGTGTTACTGTTTGAACAGTTGACAACGATATGACACTTCATATTATTTGCTCACTCATTTAATATCTCACGGTTTAAAGCCTAATTAGGGATTTTAGTCACTACTAATTGAGGTGTGGCGCAAAGTGCGTGTTCAAATTTATGGAATTATTTACGCTTTTTCTGATGTTCAAAATTCGCCGTATACAGTGCCACATATACTGTCTTGTAGCGAAACGAGCAACCGTTAGAACAGCTGTTGCTGGCATGCTCACTGATGTATTCATTCTTGCAAATATGTAAAAATTCCAGTTAACATTGTATAATTTGCAGCGTACGATGCATCTTTGCATTTATAGGTTCATATTCGTATTTTCAAATGTACAGTCATGGCATGTCGAGTATCTGTCATATTGTATGTTTCTTTTAGCACTGAAACAGCTGTCACTGACATGCAGTTCCTTGTTTTTTTTTGATTTGCTATGTGCTATAGGTTAATTTGCGTATATTCAAACGTAAAAATCCCGTACGTATAGGATTAGACGTACATTATTTGTTTTGATTTACGGCCTGGAGTTTTAAGTCTTTCGCTGGAAAGCATTGTGCAACCGTTGGGACATTCGTCACTTTATCACAAGCTCACAAATGTATTCCCTCACGTTTGAAGACAGATATAAAGCGTTCGGCTGATCTCATATGAACAGCTGTGCGAAATGTATGCTTTATTCTTGGGTCTACTTGCATGTTTTCACACGTAAATGCTCAGTAGGCACAGCATCACGTATATATACTCATGGTTTACTTCCATATTGGCACTTAGGAATGGTTCGCATTGTCTCCTTTTTAAGGCTGTCACCCGAAAACATCGTGCCATATTTACGGATTTCCGAAGAATTCGAGTTCGCTGACGTCACTGCCCTTCTTGAGTGGGCATTATGCAAAAATTTCGAGGAGTTTTCTACGACCATGGAATTCACCAAACTATCCAACAGCCAATTAAAACGCCTTCTTGCACGTGATGACCTTGTCGTTGCCAATGAGGTTGCGGTCCTTCGTTCATTGGTCACTTGGCTCAATGCTCAGACGCTGGACAGAGCTTCCCGTCAGTCGATGTTTGAGGATCTGTTTGCACTAATTCGTCTGCTCCAAATTCCTCCAAACCGCCTGCATGATGTACTATCGGAGTACAGTGACTGTTCCACAAGTGTTAAATGCCGGTAAGTCTTCAATTCTGAGCTGCGCTGACTTTTTTTTATCCTCATCGTTACCCTCCCTCTGTTTTTGCTCATTGCATACTTCGTTGACATAACTTTGCATTGCACTAAACACACTACGGTCGGTCCTGCCACAGCCTTGCGTCGATGGAGTGTCGCAGAACGTCTCGGTGGGATGGGAAGAGCAAGTCCGAATTGTCACTCGCCCACTACTGAACGAACAGCTCTCGGGGGCAAGTTAATCGACTGACAAAGTTCTGCGGCTATAAAACCACAGATAACTTATGAATAATTTCTAGTGTTCATCCGAAAGTTGGCTTAAAGGTGGATCAAATCCTGGACCGCATACTCTTGCCAGCTGTGGGCGATGGAATCTCTTCTGCTTGTGGCACCACATTCATTCTGCACCGGAGCCCGTCAATGAAATCGTAAGGGCACAAGTAAAGGCAGTAAGAAGAATGGTCTGCGACTTTCACGCCGCAGCCATCCAATTAAAATGCAGCAGTGTGAAGACCAGTTTGGACTTCCATACTCCCTACTAACTGATGACTTTGACATACCCGGCTAAAATAGGTATTTGATACTGCCTTCTGGTAGTCAAATTCTTACACTCCGAGTTGGACGGGGTTCGGTGTGGAACAAATTGAAACAGCCCTGAATTATTTCCCCAAGTTCATTTTATTGTGCGGCGCATTGCATGATCATCCGGCTCTCCTGGTAACTGTCCTCCTAAGACAGCTTCCCAACGTCACTTCTTTGATGGGGAGCTCATTCATCTGGCCAATGCCTGTCTGGACTTCAGTGCTTGAGCCAAAGGGAAAGTCGTTGTTCCATAAGTGTCAAATGTCCTTATGTCTTCAGTTTTGAGCTGAGCAGCTTTATTGCCATCGCCACCGATCCCCCCGGGGGGTTTGTTTTTGCCCATTACACACCCCGTTGGCAAAAGTTTGGGCATAGGAAGCATTTGAAAACAAACCCTGATTGCCTAATCAAATTGTATTTGGCTTAATCTCAGCCTTAAGTTATTAATAGGGCGGGAAATGAGATCGCTGGAGCAAGTTAGTATTACTACTTGTTCGCCGCTAATCGCCACGTTTCGCAAGTTCCATTCCACTGACATATAGACAGAGGAAGCTATAGCACTGCACATAATCTCCTAGTACTTTCGGCCATTCATCTGGTGAGTTGGTTCAAAAGTCAATCAAACCGTAAGAAGCAAACCGGAGAATAGCATTGCGAACTCTATCCATTTGCAGCAGACATTGTTTACTTTAGATTGTGGCACCACGGTCTTAACCCACTGGAGGGCGTCATTATAAACTGAAGGACACAGTCAAAAGCGGCGCATATCAACAAGAATGATCTAACTTTCCTGCAGTAATCAGCCTATTAAAATGCATTCCGATGAGGAGCAACCTGTCCTTTTACCACAATTTCCAGTACTTTTGGAAGGAAGTAGGCATTTAGGTTTTCGCTTGCGATTTCGACCCATCTGGCTGCCATACCTATTTGCTACTGCCTTTTGTAAGTTTAATTTTAGGAATTCGCCTTTGTTGGACTCCGCATGGAATGGCTCTAGAGAGGCTTAAATTGTTTCACCAAAATCCTTCACTTACTTAACACATTGTGCGATCACCAGCTGTTTTGACAGCTGTCGCCACAGGGTAACCTTCTGGTGCATCAAGTGAAACTGACTTGGAAATTGCGCAACAAATGCACACAACATGTCTCCTTTGACAGGAAACTCATTCAGCGGGCCCAGCAGCTTACCAGTGCCTGTTCGACATCCGCCCTTCGACCAGAAGAAGCATCGACGGCTACCTTCTCCAAGAAACCACGCGTCTACCGTGATTCTGGCAGATCTGTGTTATTCGTCCTGAGTGAGCTGCCTTTCGAAAGCGAGAAGCACCTCCTGGTAACATATGAAATGAAGCAAAACGCCTGGAATGCTGTTGCTCAAATTGGCAGCATTTGTAATGCCTCGGTAGTCGGCTTTGGGGGTAAGTTTTGTCCCTTGCTTGCTAGATCCATCCAAAACTGCAGCCCGTTTTTCCTCTCAGAGTTCTCGCAACTGCTTGCTTCCACAAATTGTATTCATAATTGTGCAAGCACATAATTCGACGTTACGTTTCGAATTGCGTTATAACTGTGGCGTTTTGTAACTGCATGATTACTGACAGCATATGTCGAATACGCTTAGTGATCTGTGATGGCCTGTCTGTAATATCCTTCCGGCATTCCCTTCACCCGGATTCTCCGTCTTCCACAGCTTGAAATTTATGTCTAAATACCAACTCTGGCGACGTTTTCTCAATACCCAGCCCGTGTCCACTTTGATTTATTGTCCCGGTTTCAGTCAACCTTCAGAACCTCGCTGTGGCTCACAACTCGTCTGCCGTGTGGGATTGCAATTTGCGCTTTACGTAATTTCAGGAATTAGGACAAGGGCTATCCTTCAACATCGCCTCAGGAAGGGCACAAAATGTCCATGTTATAGAAACCCTATAACCTATCTGCCCCGTAGCTTTGGACATAGCAGCAAAAAATTGAACAGCTCAGCCTCTGACAGAGAGTAAAATGCAGTTTAATCTTCCTTCTAGTACCGCTTGCGTCATCTACTGCGCCTAGCTGATCCAAGGCGACCAAATCGCCTAAGAACGCTTGTTTCAGGAACTGGGCGCTAGGTACACAAAATTAGTCGGGCATACGTCTCCTCCTCCTCCTCCTCCTCCTCATCGCCATCGCCATCATCATCATCATCATCATCATCATCATCATCATCATCATCATCATCATCATCATCATCATCATCATCATCATCATCATCATCATCATCATCATCATCATCATCATCATCATCATCATCATCATCATCATCATCATCATCATCATCATCACCACCACCACCACCACCACCACCACTAGCACCACCACTAGCACCACCACCACCACCACCACTACCACCACCACCACTACCACCACCACCACCACTACCACCACCATCATCATCATCCTCATCACCACCACCATCACCATCACCAGTTGTGGCGGAAGCGCCTTCATCAGGGGCATCAGCATCCTCGTCCTCTCCATATTCCCCTTCATGTCCCCCTGTTCCTTCCCCTTCCACTACTACTACTACTACTACTACTACTACTACTACTACTACTACTACTACTACTACTACTACTACTACTACTACTACTACTACTTCTACTACTATTACTACTACTACTACTACTGCTGCTTCTGCTTCTGTTGCTGCTGCTGCTGCTGTTGCTATTTTTCCTCGTCTCCTTCGTCTAAATCGGACTGCCCATACGTTTTGCGAATCAAGTAAATAACTACTATTAAAACTCAATTGGAAAATGACTGAATTGTAGCCATACCGCTGTCTAATACTAGGCAGTCTTATAAATACGGCGTGTCCGAAAAGGTCTCTACACACATTAATAGCTGATGGGACAGCTGATGCTCCTTTATTTTTTGAATTTGTCCATTGGACAGCTAGACTAAACTTTAATTATGAGGAGCGTACCACGCAACAGCATCTTGATGCAAGCTCCTACCTTGGCACCGAGGTAGGATCCTGACAAACAAGTGAATGGCACCTGACTTCGCACTTCCAGACTTTTTTATGGGGATGTTCTTTAAATCAGGTTTTTAAACAACAAAACGGACAGCGGTCACTTATTTGAGAGGAGTCATTGAACAAGAATGCACTCACATACTAACATACTAAGAAGAGTTTTTTATTGTTTGCCATTCCCTTGCTTCGCGTTATCAACAGTTCTTGGATCGGAACTGACAAGAGGTTGAGAGGGGGGACTGGACTCCCTGTTTGTTACAAGGGAGTGAATTATATCACAGATTTAAAAATGGAAGCATTAAACGGCTACAGAGTTTTTTCGAAACCGGTCAGATAAACGAATTGTTCCAAATGTTTATAACAGTTACATTACTAAATGTGCTGTACAGCAGTCAGTTTAAGCATAATTGTGCCGTAGAATGTTGATGAGATCTGACGGGGACGAATTGAATGCCAACATTCACATTCAATGACTTAGGACAATAATGGAACAAAAACAAGCGCTAGTGAATTCCAGGCAGCAATAGTAGAATAATAATTAAGCGTTAGAAGAAAACGCTAAGACGATATTAGTCATGTGGCATTTGATGTTTGGTGGTATACTGATCGAACTTGCGCTTAAAAGGCTCGACGGATGTAGACATGACGATAACTGCAGGCAGAGCTTATCAAGCCTCGAACGTTCTGTTGGAGAAGAAGAATTTTCGCAGGCCCAGACTGGCGTCAGTCATATTTTCGGGACCGAGCCTGAAGGCCGTGTCGGCTAGGGTATCACTATGGCTTAAACTGTTGCGACAAGTTCATATTAGTTCACTTCTGGTGGGTACTCAATGCCTAATATTTTTTTAGAACCTGTATTACCTAAATAACGTTATAATCTAGTCCGAAGGTCTGACAGTGCTCATAAGTTTAGTGGCAGGGAGCTTTAAGATTAAGAGTATTCGTGTTTCGATTGTTTGAACAGACTCCATCTACGCATTCGGAGAGGCAAGGGCGAACAGGGACCGGAGCGTGCAGATTTTTACACCAATCACAGGCGAGCGCAGACTAGGCTCAGCAACGCCGGAGGGCGAGCCGTGTCGTCACGCCATTGTTTTCGACAAAGAAATCCTTGTGGCGAGTACAGCCAAGTGTTCCAGCCTCTACGATCCCCTTTCAGACACGTGAGTTTACCCTATAGACAGCTATGGCATTGACAATTTAAAATTCCATTTTTCATAGATATTTTGGCAGATTTTGAATAATTCATATTGACCCAGCTGTGAAAAACTCGGCGCCTTGGTGGGATTCGAACCCACGCAGTAAGGGGAAGGCTTTCGTACAGTCAACGCTCTAACCCCTTGAGCTACGAGGCCCCACCGGACGACGCGAGTTTAATCACATTTGGGTCAAGTTACCCGCCCAACCTACTGCAACGTCTGGAATCCACCAAATCTGATACAGTAAGTTGATTTCCCAAGCAGGATTTCCTAAGCAATTCACCTAGAACCCGGCAGGGCCTCGTAGCTCAAGTGGTTAGAGCGTTGGCTGTACTAAAGCCTTCCCCTTACTTTGTGGGTTCGAATCCCACCGAGACGCCGAGTTTTGCACAGTTGGGTCAATATGAATTCCATGTTTTGGCAGATTTGAATAGCTCGTTTGACTAAATTGTGAAAAACTGGGCGGTCTCAATGGAATTCGGAGGCAAGGGCAATATTTAAGTCAAACCAACGCCCTAACCGCCCGAGCTATGGCGTCCTGCCAGAAGCCGTGAGGTTAAACGCATTTGGGCCAAGGTACTCGCCTCAGGTTACCATATTAATTAAATGAGCCCGATAGCCAACCTGATGGATTATAAATTGGCTGCTTGGGAAATCTCACTTGGGTAGTCACCTTACCGCATTCGATTTTGTGGATTCTATATGTGCGTTACCGTAGGCTGGGCGCGTAACTTGACCAAAATGTGATTAAACTCATTTTTCCCGGTGGGGACTCGTAGCTCAGGTGGTTAGAGCGTTGGTTGTACGCAGACCTTGCCCTCGCTTTCGTAGGTTTGAATCCAAACGAAGCTGCTATGTTTTCTACAACTGGGTCAAATGAATTAAACAATCACTGAAAGGGCGCTCACCGATCGGATTACGCGATGTGCTCACACCTTTGCGCCTTAGGACTTAATCTAGAGCTCTTGCGAGCGGTCGGAAAGCGACCATTGATGAGACAGGAAGGAATACCGACAAAGGCAGGGGATAATGGGATAACACTTTTTGGTTTGGAAGCTGCCGTTAGTCGACCATAGCCGACTCAGGGTTTGAATGACCTGGGAGTCCAACCCACAGTCACTGATCGTTGAGCTCTACGATTGGGCCACGGACCCGTTGACTTGTCGGTTGCGATCGAGAATGGTCACCATCGTTGAAAGAACGGAACGTGTTCGGTCTAACTTCCGACAGAACAATGTACGAGCATGTGAATTGTGTTCCAACAAGTTTGGCGAATTGTGGACCCGTGGTCAAGGCGGTTTTCAGCAGTTGGAGTCACTAATCATCCAACATTATATAATGGAGTCCTAGCCTCCATATATGTTTGATCCCTTAGTGGTCCTCGGCGGAGATTAGGTGGGTCAAATGAAGTAAACAATCGCTGAAAGGGCGCGCACCGATCAGATTACGCGATCTGCTCACATCGTTTCGCTTTAGGGCCTAATCTAGAGCTCTTGCGAGCGGTCGGAAAGCGACCAGTGATGAAACAGGAAGGAGTACCGACAACGGCAGGGGACACTGGGATACCAGTTTCCGGTTTGTTAGACGTCGTCAGCCGACCACACCCATTGTTAATTTAATCCAGTTTTTGAGGAAAATGTGTGGGAGCCTCTCAGCACTGCTCATCGTGATGCACTTTTGTCAAGTTTTGAATCTAATACTTGACTTGTTTCATGCTGCGCAAAATCGAATGCGCTGGAAAATTTCTTAAAATTGGCGGCGGGATGTTTCAAAGCACCCACTAGTCCGTATATGATATACTCGGACCTTAAAAGACACTCAGGTTATCCTACAAGGTGAAGTAGCATTGGGGAGGGGGGAGAGAAAATGTGAGAAGCGAAAATTGCGAGGGCAAGTAATTTGGGATTTAAAAATCGGTAAGCCTGTGGCTATTTGAGATTATGAAGGACAGGAACGATGACGGTGTTGTTGTGATTGGGTGCAGTACTTTACAGAGTTTAAATCCAGACCAGTTACCGTCTTCTGACAGAGAAGGACGTTGCTTCGAGGCCCTCGTTTAGTCCCTCCAGGTCTTCGTGTTCCCCTTTCTTTTCCAAGCCTTTTCTTCACAAACAGCGAAGCCCTAACACGCATGGGCGGCTTAATTTCACCATCCCCAACTACTGGCTATCTTGACTCACATGCGAATGATCATCCACCTATCTTGTTGTAGCGGCTGACATGCCCGTTTCCTTATGGTTTGAAACCCCTGGTTGTACACTCGCAGACGATGGCGTGGCGACAAAAAACAAATAATGGACTGCCAATAAAAGCGAAGAGACGAGTCCCAGGAAGTAGTCTTGAAGAAGGAGACACGATCGCTGGGACAAGAGCTTTATTAGCCTGGCGTTTCGGATTCCTGCTCGAATCCATCATCAGAGACAGCAGCAGATACGGGTGATTCACGCACAAGGGGCTGCAGTATTTATAGAATGCAGTCGCCATGCTACCGCATACCTATGAACATTCATGGCTCCCCCCTTCATCAGGGGTCGTTGCACGTGGTGTGATGGCCGTTTCATGGCCGACATTCGCGTCGTTAATTGCTGCAATTTCATCACGTACGTTGGATGTTGGTGTGATGATTGCTCGACCATCTGACGCACCGACCCTGGTGTTGGGACAAGTGTCCACATGTGCGCTCCCCGCGTGTCTAATTACTCTGCCTGGGCGAAGTCATAGCAGCCAGTATGGAAGGGGAAGTTCATTGCACTTGTTAATTGACTGGGGACCAGTAAACCATGATTCAAGTAGCTCCCGGCTCACGCGGTTGTCACCTCTGGCGAGAATTTTGGCCTCGTCAAATATGAATGTTTTGCCGGATCTCGTCGAATGCGCCGCAACTTGAGAGTTGGCGTCATTTCTCCGCACCGCTGCAGCGTGTTCGGCCATTCTCGTTGGCTAATAAAGCTCTTGTCCCAGCGATCATGTCTCTTTCTTCAAAATAATGGACTGTTATTTCTGGCCTATTTGGCGTCACCCGTCTGTCACCCCAGGCCCTGTATCATCGAAACTTTTCACGTCTGTAACCAGATCGACAAATTCTTACTCCCACTTCCATCCGACCTTTGATTTCTCCGATTGCAGGCACCACGACCAAAGCAGGTCGTGGTGAAGCGTCCGACTCAACTGCCCCATGGCCAGCCAATCCAAATTCGAATTTCAGGTATTTTCGTTCTGCATCTGGGAGATGGTGGACATTTGAAGACCCTTCTCTTCTCTCCTATCCTTGTCGGTGCTATTTGGACTTTTCCACTGATTTCGGTGCGGTGAACGTCGTTCTTCTGGATGTGATCATTCCAGCTCATACATGCGGACTTCCCAACACAATAAGTTGGAATAGGGCAGGATAAGGGAACTCAGCCAGTCAGGAGTGCATGCTCACCGTCAGTCCTGCAATTTCGGGCCGGTTGTTCTGATAACTAGACTGTCGCGGTCATGCATACCTGCCGCATGAAGTATCCATATATATCATATCACATATCACATAAGGCAGGCGGTGGAGAACCAACGGTATACGGACTGAATAACTGGTAGTGGCTCAATGGTAGAGCCTTGAACTTAATAATAACTCTCGATGACCAAAAAACTCGGGTTCGAGGCTCAGGTTCCGCAAACCTAATGACTACCAGTAAGTCAGAAACGGCCATCCTAGTCTTAACCCTGCCATTGGCGGTATTCTCCTGCTGATTACATACAGTGTCAGGCAACCGACTCAGAATTA